GTTCATGAATGCTATTAAACTACGATAGAATGTCCTTAACATATTTGCACTAAGCAAAAGTCGTAAAGAGAAAGGTCCCAGACTTTCGTTGAATTAAATTTAAAAAATAAGTGCTTGTTTAATATAACCCTAGTATTCATTCTTGTTATATAACCATATAACTCATCGACAGTTTAAAAAGCTAAACACTATAATTTAATATAAAAATGAATTATATTTTTTATTTTTACTATATAAAAATATATTCTAACTGGTTTTAATTTTGACATATTGTTAATATGTAATAATAATAATATTACATATTAACAATATGTCAAAATATAAAATCCCTCTTATATTTATTTTAATGTATTTCTATCTAATTATATTTTATGGCCAGCTAGAAAAATATAACGACGCTTCATATAATTCCCTCCAAAATATTATATTACCATAAAATAATAAGCAGAATCGATAAGTTTACAAAATACTGATTCTGTACTTTCTAATGACTATTTTTTATTAACAAACAAATTTCAAATAAATAGAATCATAAATTTTAATATTTTACAGAACTAGGTGTCATTTTGCGGAATTCCATATAACTGGTTATTTGATTAGAATTATTTTGGCTAATTCGACTACGTATACGTGCGTGCGTGCGTGTGTGTATGCGTGTGTGCGTGCGTGCGTGCGTGCGTGCGTGTGTGTGTGCGTGTGTGTGTGTGTGTGTGTGGCGACCTTATCGCTAAAAGCTAAATCTCTTCCAGGCTACCTTTGGATGGAGAGAAGTAATTATAGACAGTTTGATTGGAAGCACGATGAAGATCCTATTATTTCTAAATATGGAGATGTAATAACTAGTTTTATTATTGATAGAGTTAAGAACAAAAATCGTGTATCTCCTCTTTCTAAGAGTACTAAAAGTATTAAACCAACTAAATACAATGCAGAGTTCAAAAGACTTTTAGACTTGGCAAGATTTTTCAACAAAACAAATGAACATTAAGTAATACTTTCATGTCGTGTTGGAAAATCAATACATGTATGTTTACGCAGTGTGTATAAATTCTAAATATAGTAGCATAGCGTGCAACTAATAAAACAATCGATGGTGTCGCCTTGGCCCGCTAGCGAAATATTTCCCATAGCTATGTCTCGCATTTATTTTATTAAATTATAATCAAACATTAAAGTACTTAATATGATATCATTGATCATATAAATTACATTGTACCCAGTTACTAAGCCTTGTGAAATTGCGAGTCCCTTCTAGATTAACTCGCGGACCCATAACTCCGCTAATACCTCCATTTAGAAGAACTGTTCTGGAATTTCTCAAATTGTAAGATTTTGTAAAATTATAAATAGCCGCAGTGACCAGATCGATATTTTATTTTTGATAGTCCAATTGCTTTTGTACGACGTGTCTATAAATATATAAAATGAGTCGTTGTTGGATCTGCTTATGGATACGGTGGCTTTACTTGTTGTTGTTAAGCATTTAATAATAGTTGTAAGCTATATATATTTCTTCGTACTTACTGTTATACATGTATAAATATATACTGTGTTTGTCTATAAAAAATTGTTACACTCAGTTCTAAGCTCCATAATTGTATAAACATTTACAATATCTTGTGGAAACAATTGTTGGTGAACCTGAATAAATAAATCATCATTTTATCAGTTACATGATCTAAATGGCCTCATAGCAGTCTATGGGGAGGCCTATGTTCAGCAGTGGACAGATAATGGCTGAAATGATATGATGATGACCTCGAAAAATTTCAAAATGGCTGTCCATATGTACTAAGAAGAAGATTGGACTATGTCAAGGTAGATTAACATGACATTTTTTCAACCGACCCCAAATAGAAGAAGGTTCTCGATTCGTTATGTTTGTTACCTCATATCCCCGTCATTTCTAAATCTATTAAGAATTTTTTTATCTAAAATAATATAATAATACTTACAGATTGGTCCTATAGAAATTATATCAATATAGGTTTAGTAGTTTAATTTTGAATTAAAATCTCTAGTTTTGTCACAGTTAAAGTTGGTTCTTATTTTTCTTTAATTATAAATCAAAGAAGTTGGTGTCGTGTCGTATCAAGAGGTGAAGAGACTCGCTGAAAATCGTAGTGAGTGGCAAGAGCTCCACCGACAAGAGCGCAGCTCTTAAATAGATAGATAGATAGATAGATATAAATCAAAGTAATGCATTTTCCAGGAACGAAGTCAGTGTTTTTTGTTTTCTAGAGCCAATCCATTATTTGTGAAATTTCTAAATTAAACAGTATAGTGATATGAATAAATACATTATAATAGTAAAAAGAAAGAAAAAAGGAATTAGTGTTAGAAAAACTTATTAAGTTTGCACAAACTCTATCAACTATGAATAACTTTATGATTCATTATTTTCTAAAATCTGCAATAAGTTCTAACATTTACAAGTTAAAAGACCTCTATGAGGTCAATAACAGCGTTTTTTGTCTGATCAGAGTCTAGTCTACAATTATTTGATCGAAAATAATAAATATATCTATTACTCTATTGTACTCTAATTTAATTTTTATCTATAAAAGGCAGGAATTTGGATAGCTGTTCAAAATGTTTACTCACATTTATAGAATCTGAAACTTGAATATATAAGATTTGTTTTTTTAATGGATGATAATGGAATTGTAACTCTGCATATGCTATCGGTATACATCGACAGTTAATACTGAGTTAGCCCATACAAATTCAACAATAAAATTACTATGTTTTTCAGGGGGAATTGCGAGGAGGTCGACCTGACAGGGTTTATTGCTAGCAAAACAGTATATTCTGTGTCGATGGAACAGTATATTCTATGTCCATGGTACTGTTTATGTCTATAGGCGACGATTACCATTTTCCATCAGGTGGGTCGTCAGCTTGTTTGCCATTTTAAGTTGTATAAAAAAAAATAGGAATTTAGTGCTAAAAATCTTATTATACAAGCTGCAATATCATTTTTCCGTTTAGACCCGACATAGAATGGGCCACCCCTTCCTCTCTCGAGGATGTCGTAAGAGGCGACTAAGGAATCTTTACGGTCGAGAAACGGGCAGTAACGTTTCTCTTAAAATATCACCAAAGTCTAACTGCGGTTGTCAACTCATCAGTCAGCAATTAGTGACAAAATCTCCTTTATGGGGGAAACAGCTAGCAATATACAATGAACGGCTGATATAGTAATAATAAAAAAAATATTTGCTGCTTGTCACGGATGTACGTCTTCCGTACCAGAGGGAGACTTTGTACAAAAGTCGATTGCTTGGGTACTTCTGTCGTTTTTCTACTGTGAAGCAGTTGTGTTTGCATGGCTATGTTTCGGTTTGAAGGGTGGAATATGGCGTGAATTTACTGGGTACAGAGGAATAATACCTGAGTCCTCAGGAATGGCAACGCATGGGGGGTATCATCAGCTGTGTATCATCAGGTATATCATCATGGGGTCAGCTTGTTTGCCATTCTAAGTTGTATATAAAAAAATACTCTGGTGATGTTTTAAGCGGAACACAGCTATCGATCCCTTAATCATTAAGTTCCCTTAGTAGCCTTTTACGATAGCCACGGGAAAAGAACTGGTGACCCGGGACCACGTGGTATACATATAGTTATTTATCTGTATCAAATATTTTATGAAACAGTAACTAACACTAGCCTGTAATTTAAACACTTGTTCATTCATCACTACGTAAAATTTCGTTATAAAATTTTCAACTCTATGCCTTTAAGTTTTAGAGTCGTATATTAAATATGTTGATAGTGATGACGTCAATAGAATTTGTTGTTATGCCAACATGGCGCATTTAAGTAGGATAGCGTGTTTGGAAATTATTTTCAAGTGAACTATCTTAAACTAAAAGTTTTTACTGTTCGAATTAAACCTTAAAATCGTATTTTAAAGTTGCAATATTTTAATACTAATGACAAAAAAGAGGATGACTAGATAGCAATACATGAATTTACTATAGGTGTCACAGTATACTCTAGAGAGTATATAGCTCTCTCATAATATAGCTCTTTATAAGTAAATAAATTCTTGAAATCAGTTTAGTATTTTCTAAGTTTATATTCATTACAAACAAAAATAACCGCGTATTTACGCGGAATAAAACAGGAGACTCCATCCTTTCTCATGGATGTGGTAAAAGGAGTCTATGGGAGCTTATAATGGAGGGATGGGCAGCAGTGTCCCTCTTAAAACATTACCAAAAGCCAAACTGCAGTTGCCAGCCCGCCTGCTAAGCGTGGCAACTACTGGCAAAACCCCAGTTAACGGTTGATACAAGAAACACAAATCTAATTATTCCTTTTTATAATATTAGTTTAAATAGATATAAAAAGACATGGGTCATATCAGTACCGCTCCCGTATCTATATATTGGTTTCTTGTGGACACTGATAGTGGAACAAAGGTCATCAGCCATTTCGACATCGCCCATACTGGTAGGATATCTATGTACACCTTTTAATTTCGATCAAGTTCTCTATTTCTACATTATATATTGAATAACCAATATTTAAAATATCTATTATTTGACCAAAATATACACACTCTAACTAAAATACATAGACATTGCTATACATTACCCACCTCTACATGTAAATATTAGAAACGACATGGAACACGCGTTAGGTGATCGTCCCCGGAAACGCCAGAGGCCCAAACCATTTGGTCAAAAATCCTTATAATATGCTGCAGACGGTCATAAGTACTGTCATTACAAAGGCGTTAATATGTTACAACCCTAACATAAGGGTTCTCACCCTTATTTACCACTCAACTACACCGTTTGAGGACCGGAACACACTTTAATTCCTTTGCAATATGAGTGTAGTACGTAAGGCTGCTTTTTAAGTCGTGTCGTTTGCCAACCACCCGCGATTATTAAAAAAAAATATATTGCATTTTCATCTTTTTGAATTTAGAATTCTCGTAGAAGTCATGCCTGTATTCTTTGACTAACTTAATATTCTTGTTACAGGCTTTGCAACGATGTCGCATCTAAGAGGAATCACACTCTAAAGCCTAGAGTAGTATTACCGGAAAACTATGTTAAAGGTAAGTACTTTAAAGTCATAGTAAAAAATAATGAGTAATGAAAATCCTTACTATCGTCATCATATATATTTATATATATATATATATATATATATATATATATATATATATATATATATATATATATATATATATATATATATATATCATCAGACATTGACTGTCTATTGCTAATGTCTGATATGATGATACGCTGATACTCATATTCATCCCATGACCATGGGAAGAAAGGAGTGGTCTATTCTATGTCTTGAAATTTGGTACAAAAGTCGATAGCTTGGGTACCTCTGTCCCATTCGTGTTTCAACCGTAAAGCAGTTATGTTTGCATGACTGTGTTTCGGTTTGAAGGGTGGGATATGGCGTGAATTTACTGGGTACGGAGGATTAACACCTGAGTCCTCAGGAATAGCAACGCATAGGAGGTATCATGGGCGAAACAGTATACTCTGTTAAGTCCATGGTACTGCTCATACCTATAGGCGACGGTTACCACTTTCCATCAGGTGGGCCGTCAGCTTGTTTGCCATTATAAGTTATATAAAAAAAAAGTAAAAGCTAATAAATAATAAATAAGCTATATACCCCTGTGTACGGCCCTGTCATCCTAAATAAATGGTAAGCCACTTTTTGATTTTAACGATAAAAGTCTTCACTACCGCATAAAGAAATGAGACAGCAACATCCAACACTTTGTTCTTTTTATTTCAACTGTTCGTCAATGAACATAGACTGCGGGGGGGAAAGGGATTGTTAGTAATGGAGACTAAAAATCCCATTGCTAGCAATATACCTAACCAGGTCGACCTCCTAGAAACTATCATGATTAATTCTTCATGATGAATTCATCATGATACGCTAACTGGCCTGTTTTCATTCTCTCCGATCACCCTTCACTGGTGCTCTGCCAGCGTATCCCATTAGCGCAGCTGCCTGCGCTAATGGGTTACCATACCATTTTCACCCATCAAAAAAAAATTGACTGCGTTTATTAATCTTATTTTTTTTTTTCTTAGAAATGCGTCCACCAGCACGCAAAGGACAGCCAGTTATGGTGGAATTCAGCATCTACGTGGTCGACGTAAACTCTATAAATGTGGAAGATATGGATTTCAGGTAAAATACTAGTAGTTCTTATAGGAAGAGAATTAGCTATTGGTATATTTATATAAGTAGGTAGGTATTATATGTATTTATAGTGTATGTATTTATGTAATATTTTATTATATATTTTAATATTTTATTTAACTGTATATTTGTTTATGTATTAATAGTTTCAAACCGAAACACAGCCATGCAAACACAACTGCTTCACGGTTGAAACACGAATGGGACAGAGGTACCCAAGCAATCGCCTTTTATACAAAGTCTCCGGTATAGAAAAAAGTTTAGTTGTACTTTAAGATACAAGTGATTTGGACTTTAAGATATTTAAGATTTGTATTTCAGTTGATAATAAATAAATAAAAATATATATGTATTTTTTCCAAAATGTTTCACAACTTTGAGTTATGTTATTGAAAATTTGTATTTCAGTAGACAATTAATAAAAAAAAATCCAAAATATTTCACAATGAAACGTTTGAGTAAATTCATTTATAAAAGTCGAATGTTTCGCGCACAGCGGCGCCAGGTCTTTTAATATCACATATTTTTTCATATCAAAGTAAAATTGACTTGAAACATTTTGTGAAACGATATTAATTTGATATGTGATTATTTCGCAAAAAATACATTCTGCTTCTCAATAAAAGGGCAAGTTCAATTCTAATAAAATATATTTATACCTATGAAAGACAATATGTAAAAGTAATGTAAGAATAAATAAATTGTCGTTCATCTCATCATCATCACCATTATTATCATCATTATTATTATATATTATATTATATATTATCATTATTATATTATAGCTTTTTATCCACTTCAGTGGTCCCCAAGGGTAAAAGCCTCCTCCATCTTTTTCCACCTCTCCTTATCTGTAGCAATATTTGTCCAGTTTTTTCCTGCTGTCTTTATTATGTCATAATTAATGACATAATTATTATCATATCAGTCGTTAATAGTCCACTGCTGAACATAGCCTTAGAAATATTTTACCAGTAGTCGCCATGTTTGGCAAGCGAGCTGGCAACTGCAGTTAGGTTTTGGTAATGTTTTAAGAGGGACGCTGCTGCCCATCTCTCGACTATTGAGTTCCCTTAGTCACCTCTTACGACACTCACGGGAAAGGTAGAGCTGGCCCATTCTATGCCGGGACCAAACGGCATTTTTCTGTATATGTAGCTTGAAATAATTAAGTTATATATAGACACGACTATAGTTGCAAACTAGTTTGTTTGATGTATCTGTTGAACTTAATATTGGAATCCAATATAACATGAGCTTACCGCAAGCAATTATTCGACTTAATTTGATTTGCTACCAGTTCAATATATATATATATATATATATATATATATATATATATATATATATAATATTGCACCATATATATATTTTTCTATATATTCAAAGGTTGTCTGGAAGAGATTGCTTAGCGATAACGCCGCCTCTTGTATCGCTTCTCATTAATATTATTAATATTTACTGTAATAATTATTTTTTAATTAATGCAATACAGTGTAAAATAAATAAATATGTATAATGGGATATTCATGAACTTACTATGTTTGTTGTTCCGACAAATGTTTTGACTTCATACGTAAGTCTTCTTCAGGGGGCGTACGGCGCTTTACGTCACAGCGTCTCGGTTCGCACTGCGAGCTGCAGCTTATAGATGTAGACATATAATTAAAGATTGTATCGAACAAAAACCCGACAAAACCAATTATTTTGAAACTAAAAACTAAACTGCTAAACCGTTATTGATAAAATTTCTATGGACACAATCTGTAGCCTTCTTACATACAAAACAGGAATTTTCAAAATCGATTTAGAACTGACGTAGCTCTACCAAGTAACAAATATAAAAAAATACAACCGACTTGAGAACCTGCTTCTTTTTGAATTTGGTTAAAAAATGAAAATCAGTTTCATGAACATTAATCATAATTTAATTTAATATCACATACAATACATCAATAAATTAAAGTTAATATACAATTCCTTAAACCACCAACAAATGCATTCCCAAAGAGGGTTGACATCAGGCAGGTGGCCGGTTGTAAAACTAAAAACCAAATCTTTTTGTAATATGGATAAAATCATATTACGCCGACCCCATATGATTGGGATAAGGGTAGGAAGATGATGATGATGATACAATTCCTTAAATACAAATACTAATTATAAGTAATCTCCCAACGCACCACATCGAGGCAGCGTACCCAAGATACTGGCAGCATTACCGCTTTGGATTGCCAAACTTATCTTTTGGGCAAAGTAGCTACCAGCAGTAACCTCAATGAGGCGCGCACATTCTCTATCTTGATCTCTAAAGTAAATTTTTCTGTAATTTATATTACATAAATTAATTTTATATTTAAAATTGTAAAGATAAATAAGAGAGAATCGATCCCAGTTTTTGTTTCTCCAAAACCAGAGAATTACTATAATATTATTATATTCTTTATTGCACTTGTAAATTACATTGTTAACGCATTTGTAAATATTGTGAGCAAAAGCCTCTTCCAGTCAAGCCAATGCAGTTAGACAGCATGTTGTTAGTGGGTAGTTGAAGTGCTACAACTATTAACATTTAGAGTACATAAACAAATATACAAATATATATTATTATTGAAAGACAGGCTTTTTCGGGCAGAAAAATCTGTGACACTGCAACCTTTCCATGTTCTTTTGTGTTCACCCATTTTTAAAGTTCGCTGCATATTCCTATCATCAATAGGAATTTTAAGATGTTTTTTATGGCGATGTTTTTTATCTCCTCAGGATATAAATTGTATTTTCCAAAGGAGATATATCGTTTACGTATAAGTGGGCTAGAGCCACACATTCAGTGCTGCGGCGTTTCTTCTTCATTGTGACAAAATCTGTAAACGCTTTTTGGACATAAGACCAGTTGGGCCATATGCTTGTTCAATTTGCAGTGTCCAGTGAGAGCTCTTGTGAATACACGCATATTGTTTTTACTAGTTTAATATTAACAAAGAGTTTTTCTTATTAATATATTAATACTGTTTAATCCTATATAAATTATTTACATAAGTACATTAATTTTCATTTAACGTTATGAATCATTTTAATTTCTGTTCGTTCCCGAAATTCCATTAGGCTACGTGCCACTTGCCTATTAGTTCGTTTCAACTATTTGGGGATCTCTGACTATGCTCAAGCAATGTGGGCGTAATGTTAAGGCATATTCACACGACATCGCTGAGGCGGTGCCGAAACGAATTTAACACGGTATGAAGTTTTACAAGGTAAGGCTTAATTCACAATAAAATGTTGATTCGGAACGTTCTAAGTCAGATCTTAGTATGGTAAAATGTTATCAAGATTTTTCCTAGAGACTACAAAATAGGGTACTTTAAAAAGGGCGTAATAATAATTAAAGATTATGATCATTTAATGTCAAAATCGTGATCCTTTAATTCTTTTCAAATATTCAATCGAATAAAACAGAAAAAAACGGGTCAGTATTTCCAACTTAGCGCCTGATTATCCCAAAAGCCACGAAAAGCCCTTTTTTTCTTGATTTTTCAAATTAATGTAATGAATAAAAAAAATTTTTTTATAAAACCATAGCTGATTTTTGTCGGAAATTTATTCAAGATTTCAAGACCCTCCTTAATTTTCTTATGCGATCAGCAATAGCTGAGATATTGATGGTTAAAGACAAAAAGACCCTTTTCCATTCAAAGTTTGATATCTCAGTGAGAAGTGGTCGTATCAAACTTTGCAAAAAAACTAATTAAAGCTGAATGAACAAGCTATCCGATGTATATAGTGGTAAAGTTGAAAAAAAAATTTCAAGCTCGTAGATCAAAAATTAGAATCGAAAAAAAAATAAAAAAAAATATTTTCGTTATTCATTAGGATTGAGCGAAACACGTTGCTTGAAAAATTTTTTCATCATAAAATCTTAAAACTGAGTTTTGAAATTCTTTTTCTAAAATTCCAGTACGACCATTTTTAAGGGAAATATAGCTACTTGAAAAAATCTTTTTTTTAGTGATCCCTTAATTTTTCCTCTTATTCAGTATATTGTATAAGATAGGAAAATGGTGTTTACATTATAAATATATAGTTGTAGGTTTCTCAAGCTTTTTTTATCTCATTTATGTCCCCCAAATGCCGCCCCCGAAGTACCAATTTGGTTTTTGGGAACAGAAGAAGTCACACGGGGCCAAATCCGGCGAATTTAGAATTTTGTGGACCACGGTTTTGCCCAAATTAAGCTCTTCAGCCACCTGTCTGACCGTTAAACGACGGTCCCCATTAACACAAGTTCGAATTCTTTCCACGTTTTCGTCGGAATGTGAAGTGGAAGGACGTCCTGAACGTGGGTCATCTTGAACGCTTTCTCGGCCCTCTCTGAATCTTTTTAGCCACTTGTGGACGGTTGGTTCCTTCACAGCATCATCCCCATAAACTGTTCTGAGATCGGCAAAAATTTCACGGCCATTCTTGCCGAGTTTCGAGAGAAACTTGATTACGACGCGCTGCTCTTCAACGGAAGCGGGCTCCATGCCGACGGGGTTTCGTTAAGAGGTAACTTCACAGATGGCGTTCAGACCAGAACTGAAGCATTGTTATACCTGGCCTCCCCACTATTCCAGCGAACTTTCCAATATGTTTATAGTGTAAATATCTTTCATGCGAGTTTCATTGAATTAAAATGGCAACATATTAATGCGACTAATCAATGACAACTGCGGCGACGCATCGGTATCGTGTGAATGAGCCTTTACATGAACATCTATGGAAACATTTTAATATTTTACCATCTTGCTACAGACATGTAATGTTACGCAAGCATTTCATTGTTATATACTTTGCTATGTGGAAGATTATTCGTTCATGTGATTTTTGCAATATAGACGAAATATTTGTAAATTGTTTAAACTCTAAACGATTTAATACAATACCTATAGACAGAGATCCCTCTCAATTTAGCAGAGGGAGACTTTGCACAAAAGTCGATTGCTTGGGTA